CATTCAGTACGAGTAAAATACTTAAGTTCTTTTAAAATTGGATACTTTACGACTTTTACTCAAGTCTTATTGGAATTGGTGACTTGTAACTTGTAATGGAGTAATTTATACAGTAAGGTATCTGTACTCTTACTCAAGTATGGTTTTCAGGTACTCTTTACACCTCTGCCTCACATACACTGTTCACATGTGGGCAGAGGCCACACCCCCAACTCTTGTGTGGGCCACACCCATTTCCTGCATGTGCATTCAGAATTTCAGATACAGACCACACCCACATCCCAATAACCACACCTATCCCAGCCACACCTATTATTTACACTATGTTCATTTCTACAAACAGTGTTATTCAGCATGCGCTGTGTGCAGGTGGGTGTTCTTACAGGGGTGTTTTTTCAGAGTCAGAAAGCCCTCCACCTCCTATCACACAGAATCCCCCAGAGGCAGCTGGAATGTCAGCAGAGAAAACAGTCTCGCACAAAGACTGATTCAGGCTCAAAGTGCATTGTATTAGTATGACTCATATTGGAAAAAAACAATGAATATTTAAGTCCTCCTTGTACTTAATTAATTCTCATATCCATGGCAAAATAACAATCATCTACCATAACTCCAAACCTGCTTTATGCATCGTAAAATTTTTTTATGTGTTTTTAGGCATAGTTAATATTTACCCCCTGCCTGCTTCCTCAGAAAGCACCCACACATCCAAGCCAGCCCAGCCTGAATTGGGCGGTCGCATTGGCCACTGGGCTGGACCCACAGACCAAAACATACTGTACATGTCATTATTTGGCGTACACACATGGTGGAGGCAGAAGATAATCATAATTGCCCTGTTACATCTGCCCTGGGGGCATCTTACAATCAGAAGGGGCATTAAGTGTAACAGATATTTGCAGTGTTCAACAGGCACAGACATGTTAGTAATCTAAATCAACAGTACACTTTGCAAAAAACCCTACAGTGGGAATTAATTCTAGTACTATTTGTGATTAAGCTAATGACCCCTCGGAGTATCTTTAATGTTAAGTTGAACTGTTGTTGTTCAGCATGTAAGAAATGGGTCATTGTGTTACACACACTAAAATCAGCAGAAGCTAATAGCACTGTCCCAGCTACTGAGTGATTCCAGCGGGGTCCTAAGGACTACCCGGGGGACTAGGGTTAGCCCCTGATCACCGTGGAAGATTCCAGTATGTTCTGCCCCACACCTAGAGCAATGCCTCTGCAAAAGCCGTGACGTCGGTCTCATAATACTGAACCCAGGGAGCCAGAACGGTCTTCCCCAGGAAGGTTAGGGAGCCTCGGCGATCGCACGGCCAAAACCCGCAAATACGCTTTCCTGTACATTAGATCACCGGCTTTTTTGCGTGACACTTGGAAGCGGCCACCTCCGCTGATAACCGTTAGCGCCGCTGCTGAGGAGCGGCGCGGTCGCATGTGCCAAACCTTGTTCACTTAATTAAGCACAACCGTAAGATAACCACAGCGTGGAAGCGAAAGGCTGTTTGTAACACCGAGAGCGGATTTCCCTACCAGTGAGCTTTCGACATGCATGAAGCACGGAGATTACGAAACTGTATCGTGGAGTCCACTTCCTTGGGGACAGTGAAGCGTCGCCAGCGGAAGCCTCCGTCTCCGCACCGACCGAAATGAGGAACGCTCTGCCGACCCGCAAACCCTCCCACCCCGCGATCCGTCATGAGGTCTTTTGGAGCGATGCTGTCAGCAGGAATGCCGCGGGTTGCAGGGACCACTGTGATGTAGGGAGCGCGCATACAGACGCGCGTCTGCCGGGACTTCGCTCGATTACCTGCGATGATGGAGCGCCTTGTCTTTTTTCCCTTTCGGCCTCCTCTTTCGGGCCTGGATGGCCATCACTACGAAGGAGATTATCATAATTCAGCAGAAAGATCCGCAACAGACGCACGGATAGTGAGACTCACATGTTACATTAGCTTATCAAACATGCCGGTCCGAAGCATCATTTCCATACAAATACGCACAAATACCAACACGATTTGCCTTCTCCTCTCTGTGTCTTCAGGGGAGAAATATAGTCTGCAGCAAATAATATTTAAAGTATTTAAATTAGTCTGGGTACCTTTGCGGGAGCTCATGTTATCCTTCTACCGTGAACGGCAGCAGCTGCTCGGCACCAGCCGGTCTCTCTCTCTCCCCTCTCAGTCACACCGGATCTGTAAGCTACCGTTTACGGCCACTAGGGGACGCCTGATATCAAAATCACGGACCCCGACTGCAAGCGCTCACAGTCGAACAACACCGATTTGCACCTGCATGTGAGGAGGGAAGCTCGTCCAGACAGATGATGTTCTGTCGATATATGCTGCCTTGTCGAAAAATGCTACCGTAGTGCTAATCGATAGTCCTAACCCTAACTCTTACCCTAACACTAACCCTAACCCCCCAAAACCCCTAAAACCCTTACCTTAACCCTAACCCCTAAAACCTAACCCTAATCCCAAGACGGTGGAACTGCACATGCGCAGAAAGGCTCGATAGCACGCCTCGATAGGTAGTATTTTTCGACAGAACAGATGATTAGGTCACATTAGCAAGACATTTTCGGAAGTACAGAACGAAGTATGCAGCAATCGTCAGTATTCTGGAAGTACAAAGTTATTTACAGAATACTTTGAAATATAATTTATTAAGCTTAAACGCAAAGCATCATATGTAATTCCAGCAATTTCGCAGTTAATGAAAGCGGTCATGATAAGAAGTGTATATGCATACAAACACACACACAGTGGTTCGTTTAGTAGCACATGGGCCCCCCAACCCAAGCCAATCAAATTATGCTCAAATTTATTTTTTAGAAAAATAATCGTGTCCCACCGCACATTTTAGCATGGGACTACATTAAAAGATAACTCGATCTCATTAATTAATTCATCAATCCACCAATATTTCTGTAATGAGACTTTTTTTTTATTTCGAGTACTGTTTATTAATCATTAACTGCTGCGGAGCACCCTAGACTCGACTACATTGATTTGATCCTTTGCTCATCTAGTGTTAATTTTTATTTATTTATAATAATTCCTCTAACGCAGATAATTATGTATAACTGATTTTAATTCTGAAATTACTACAAATAATGAAACCTCAATTTATGTCTTCTGACGCTGCAAAAAGAAAGAAAGGAAAAGCTATTTAAAATTTAAGCTTACGAGCGCTTATGATGACTGACAGATCAGAGAGCGATTGAGATGGAAGCATGGGCGGGCCTCTAACCTCTTACTGCTTCCGGGAGGAGCGGCGCACGTGCTTCCTGGGAAACGTTTGCTTAGTTCGCACTGAGGAGCAGGTGAGATGTTAATGAGATGCTTAGTCCAGTTATTGTCATTATGTCACTTTTATACATTGACAACATAGCTGAAACTAGTGCAAGCCACAAGGAACGGCGAGCTGTCTTTTGGGGGTAACGTGTAAACCTAAGAGTGCAAGTGGGTAGCTAAACAGTTAACATACTGCATCGCGAATGCTGTGTGAAGTTACCTCCTGATCGTCGCCATAATACCGTAGGAGTCAGAGATGGCACCGATATAGTCAGCTATGCACAAAATAGCCACTCCATGAACGCATTTATGTGGTTTGCCGTTTCCCTGGATGACTAAGTCCTCGGTAAAACGCTATGTAGACCATTGTCTTGATCTAGTCTTGGTCTTGTGTGATATCCGTGTTAAAATAACTTGCTTCATTAAACTCCTGCGTGGAATAAAGAACGGCAATATGCATTGAGAAGCGTGTGTTTAAGTTAAAATGATCATCTTGAGATCCCAGTTGATATGACATGGATTTGAGTTTTACTGCTGGTAAAACAGTGTAATGCACTGGCTGCCAGTCTTTCTAACCGTGCAAGATTTATTTGGTGCACCTCAAAGGATCCTTACTACAGTACAGCGTCCACTTGGCTACCAGACAGCAGACAGGCACCTTGTTTCTGTGTGGTACACACAGAACATCAGAAGGACATTCCAGTTTGCTCCCTCCGCTCCTCATCATTGCTCCATTCCTTCTAGAGTTGTGTTCATGGAAACATCAGAGCCCACTGTGCTCAGCCCTGGAGGGGAGAAGAGGGCCTGCCCAGAGGAGGAGCTTGCCCATCCCATCAAGAGGCCCCGTATCCAGGGAAAGGAGGGAAAAAATGGAGGGAGTGGCTCACAGCTTTCCTTGGACTTGGAGGAGAATGATAGGGAGGAAGATGAGGAAAAGGAGTTGGTGGAAGGAGTGGAAGAGGAGGAGGGAGATGGGGAGACATTTGCTGACATGATGAAGCACGGCCTGACAGAACAGGATGTGGGAATCTTAAAATTTGTCAGTGACCACGAAGGCTTCTCTGGGATCCTGAAGGAGAGGTCGGTGATGTCACCTGTTTGTTTTCATCTTAGTGTGTGTGAAGGAAGTTCTTTATTCCACCTCACGATGGTTGACATGTGTCCATGTGTGTGTGCCATTGGACACTCAGGTACTCTGACTTCGTCGTGCATGAGATTAACAAAGATGGGAAGGTTGTATGGCTTAACGACCTGACGATTCCAGCTGAGGAGCAGGTAAGCTGGGTGGGGGTGAAGAATTTGCTTAGAACTTTTGGCATCTTTGGTGAAATATGGGTGACTAGAATAGAGATGAGTCATCTTAATAAAGCGGTTTGGAGGGACAATGTGTGTGTTGGTGATGCAGTAACAGGTCCCCCCCTCCCCATCCAGGAGGTGCCCCAAACAGAATCAGAAGAGGTCCAGGTGCTTACAGAAGAACAGAAGAAACAGCTGGAGGAGCTTCAGCTTTTCAAGAACAAAGAGGCCAGTATGCTGATAGAGGTGAGCCTAGCCTAGCGCCGTGTTCCAGCACACAGCTGTAGTCATGCTGTTCCTGGCTTAGCCTCCAGAGCCCTAGCTCATCCAGGTGCTTATTGATTTATGCTGTCATCATAGCCTGTGGTGGCGGCACCCTGGTGGACTCGGTTGCTGTGGTTACAGTAAGCCTCCCTCTGTGGCCGCACAGGTGATGGAGGACACGAAAGAGAGGCGTACTCAGCTCCACAAAGCGGTGAAAACCATGTTCCCAGGCCTGGAGACCAAGACAGAGGAGAGAGACGGGCGCAAGTTCATTGTCGCTTATCACGCCGCGGGAAAGACAGCCCTTGCAGGTACCGCGCCGCCGATCTCGAAGTGGGGAGTGGGGGAGTCCGCGAGTCAAGCGTCGTGCTATGTTACTGTCTGTAGACTACTATGTTAGACTGACTTCTGCTTTGCACTGGGATGTCCATTAGGGCTAGCATGTCAAACTGGATGAAATCAGATTATTGTAGTGTCATAGACCAGGTAGACCCAGCAGATAAACAGCAATGAAATGTAGAAGTCAGGGTTGGTGAAACTGTCAAATCATGTTACACTTAAAGGGGCAGTTCACGCCAAAACTGGGAAAAACATGTATGTTTTAGAGGGGCTCTAGGACTGTCTATCCATCTAGGTTGTTCTGCTGGGAGTTGCCTAGTGTTGGAGATGTTGGCCATAGTATAGTTGGCCTTCTCTCTAATATAATAGGAGCGAATGATGGGGAAAAATTCAACAGCCATGTCTCTAACCAGAAATCATGACCCAGCTACTGAAGATAACCAACTTTGTAGTTAGCAGGTTAATGTAGGAACTATATTTTTCTGCCAAACTCCACACACTAATCATATCACTACGCCGAACATATGAGCACGAGCACCCTGGCGGTATCTTCTGTGCAGTAATATGACTGGTGTGTGGAATTCGGTAGAAGAAAATAGTTCCTACATTAAACTGCTCATTACGAAGTCTGTGAGTTATCTTCAGTAACTGGGTCAAGATATCTTGTAAGAGACAGTGCTGTTGAATTTTTCTAGAGTGTTTTTTTTTTTTTTTTTGGCGCTTTAAAAACCACAGAAAGAATGCCGTTCAGTCCCATTATATTCGCGAGAAGCCTGACTATGGCCAATATCTCCAAAACTAGGCAACTCTGGGATAGATGGCACTAAAGCCCATCTAAAACATATCTCTTCAGTTTTGGGGTAAACGGCTCCTTTAAACATTTGGCGTGCCTAACCAAAGCTAAGAAACTGAGATTTGACCATCTCTGGAATTTGATCTGGTCGTCTTCTGATGATATGTTAATAAGTCGGATTAAAATTCAGCATTTAGTCATTTTAATGAACTATTACTCAACCCTAATGCAGATGCATAGACCTCAACGCCATGGTTGGCAAATGAGATGATGTTGCATGACGTGCGCTGTTAAGCTGTACTTTCTCACTGCATGTGACCCTGGTTAGCTTTCTTCTGCCCTGCTCTGCCTGCTCAGTGCATGTGGAAGCCTGATGTTTGCATGGCGCTGTTGAAGATCCAGATTAAATCAAATTAACTCCCCTTCCACTAGCGCGGCCAGCCGTGGCACTCATCATATCTAGATTATAACCTTTCTGTAGATTGAAGGCTGTGTTGAGCCTGAGGTGTCTGATGCAGCTGGGAGGAGAGGTCCCTGAAGCAGTCTGGTCCGTGCTCCAGCTGTGCTGCTTGAGACCATTGGCTAGAGCAGTATTTCTCAACCCGGTCCTCAAGGACCCCCAGACAATCCGTGTGGGGGTCCCAAGGACCGGGTTGGGAAACACTGGGCTAGATTATCAGTGAGGACTACACAGGCAAACTAACGTAGGATTGGTCATCTAACTGGTCTTCATGCTGAACCAGCCACTCTGCACTTGCGACCTAAAAAGGTTGGAAATTCAAGCGGTCATCTCACTCTGGACCTTATGTCCCTGTAAACTAGGCATCGCCTCATTGATGTTTTACCGAGCTTTTATTCTATGCCGAAAATCAGCAGTGACTCCCCCAGTGTTCAAGTGCTCATTTTCCTGGAGCCTGTTTTTCAGATCTTAAATTCTATGCCCCCCCCCACAGCACTCCAGACTCTTCACACGCCCTTCTGTAACCCCCCCCCCCCCCCCCCCCCCCCCTCCTTGCCGAGTTGCTGGGATCAGCAGTTTCTCTCAGGTTTCCTGTGCTGACCATAGATGGATAGAGAGGAGTTCCTTCAGAGAAACATGGATTCTATGGATTTCCTTTGCCTAAGGGCAGCACAGGAAAGCTTGAGCAGGCTCTGGCTCCTGCCAACCACCCCATGCCCTGCATGCGGACCGATCCGCTCTGCCTCCCGCCTCTAGGCCTGTGATCATCCTTAGTAATACTTTTCTTGTCCCCCCCCTCCCCTTCCTTGCTCTTCTGTGTGGACAGCGGTCAGAACCGCGGCAGGTAAGTGCGTCGCATCCACTCTGCACCCAAAGGTAAAGAGAGAACTAGGGAAGTAGTGTTGGGACACCTTTATTTTTGGCGTCTCTCTGACCTTGAGCATTAAGTGGGTTGATTTCTCCTGCTTCTGTTTTGGTACGCTTTCCCGGTACGTGCTTTTTTCTTGCTGCTGTCCACATCCCCAAATGGAACTTGCTAGTTGACTTAATTTCCAAGGGTTGGAGAAACGGACACTCTGTTTCCTTCCTAATTGTTTACCCAGTATTTTTTTCCGCTTCTCAACAAGGACAAAAGGTGACGTTCAGGTGTTTGTCATTTAGACTGAACTTTAAGCTGATTGTTTCCATGAATTGCAGGGCTTGTCAAATAATCCTGGCATACAAGTGAGGAAGTTGAGTTTGTTCCATGGTTTTTTTTTTCCCCCTCAATTCATGTCGAGCTGTATGCACCCTTCAGTGAGAGGTGTTAGCCATTTTTACTCATAGGCAGTGGTCAGGCTGCATTTGTATTGCAGTGCATGTCATGAATTTCATGTCAGCACCAGGTGAAATGTAGATGTTATTGTCTGGGCAGAGTGTGAAGGTGAGCTGGTTCCTTGTTCCCTGGCACCCTGTGTATTTTCATCTGTTCCGCCCCTTTCTCCCCTTGCCCCCAACCCCTGGAAGCCCCTAGGAAACACTCATGGCCCAAGAGCCGGGGCAGCTTCTGTCACTGTGTGCTGTACAAGGAGAACAAGGACACCATGGATGCCATCAACGTGCTCTCAAAGTTCCTCAGGTTTGAGACCCCGGCACTCTAATTATACAATAGTCAGTATCCAATCACTGATAGGGTATGCAAATAACATGTAGTTTTTTTCCCCCCACAGAGTTAGACCAAATGTGTTCTCCTACATGGGCACCAAGGATAAGAGAGCCATAACTGTTCAGGAGATTGCCGTTCTCAGGTGAGTCCTTCGTTCACGTCCACATTTGTGTCTATGTGCGAGAGCAAGTTGGCCATCTTGTGTCATCTGCCCTTTTAGGATCAGTGCTGAACGGATCGCCCACCTCAACAAGTGCCTGATTAACTTCAAGCTGGGCAATTTCTCCTACAAGAAGCACCCTCTGAAACTGGGGGAGCTGCAGGGCAACCACTTCACTGTGGTGATCAGGTCAGTGTGCGGGATGCAGGCTGAAGAGGCTCCATGCCGCTCTTCCCCGGAGGCCCCAACGGTGGCTCCCCAACTAATGCGGGACCCTCTGTAATCACTATTTTCCCAGGAACATCTCAGGGACAGATGAGCAGGTGCTACAAGCCATGACCTCCCTCAGGGATACTGGCTTCATTAACTACTATGGCATGCAGCGTTTTGGCACCACCGCTGTCCCCACCTACCAGGTGGGCAGGTAAGCTGGGGCTCGTCGTGGTCTGCTGATGCAGGGGTGGGACCCAGGTTGATGGGCACATGACTGTGTCTCTTTTTTTCTTTGTCTCTCAACCAGGGCCATCTTGCAGAACAACTGGACAGAAGTGATGGATCTGATCCTGAAGCCACGTCCTGGAGGTACGCCACTTTGCGGCGATGGTGACTGATGGCCTCGGACGAGTCGTTTCCGAGTCCCTTCTTGTCGCCGAAGGGAAAAGGGGCAGGCATTTGTGAGGTATGTAGAGGTTTGATCCATGCCCTCCCCTGCCAGCGGAAAAGGGCTACCTGGTGCGCTGCCGGGAGGAATGGGCGAGGTCGCAGGACCCGGAGGAGGCGCTGAAGAAGCTGCCTGTGAAGCGCTGCGTGGAGGGCCAGCTGCTGCGGGGCTTGGCCAAGTATGGCAAGAAGAACATTGTCACGGCCTTTGGACTGGTGAGGACTGATATCTGAGTCTCAAAGACAACAGTCCTGTCTTTATGGAAGTGAACCCAAGGACCCAGAGCTGGTTTCTGGCTCTGAAACATAAACAGTGTTTAAAACAGCTGTTCTGGTGTTGACAGACTCTTGTGGATTATAGGTGCCTGATTCGAGGCCCTGGAGAGGATATGGTCATGGACAGCATTGAGTATGCAAGGGTGGAACTGTGTGGTATGCGAGTGTCTAGCGTGTCAGTCAGGTCTCTGCTTGTGACCCTGTCTCAGATCCCTCGCAACAACCGGCTGATGTACATCCACAGCTACCAGAGCTATGTGTGGAACACCATGGTGAGCCGGCGTGTGCAGGACTTTGGCCTGAAGGCTGTGAAGGGAGATCTGATGCTCAGAGGAGGTGAGCCAAATAATGGTCCTGTCTGTCCGGAGGTCCCAGCCATTTGCATTCAAGGAGTGATAAAGAAGTGCAGGTCAATAGTGGAGAGGAACTGAAACCTAGGCTATACTGTACCCTGTGACTGAGCAATGGAGTCATTGATTTGGGCTCATGATGACAATGGGCATGTGGTAACCAAGGTTCTTTCCTAGGTGACTCCTTGAGCAGCCAACTGACTCCCCAGGCTCTCTCTAGCTGTGTTTCCAAACACCGTTTTTGGGAATCCCTAGACCAGGAGTCTCCAACTCTGGTCCTTGGGAGCTACTATCCAGTAGGTTTTCTATCCTACCTGGCTTCTGATGAGCCACACTAGTTATCAGGTAAATACCAGGGGCAGGTGTGGCTCATCAGAAGCCAGGTAGGATAGAAAACTTACTGGATAGTAGCTCTCCAGGACCGGAGTTGGTGACCCCTGCCCTAGATAGTCTATGCTTTTGGTCCCTATCAACTCCCTGCCACAGTCCACATATTTTCTCTGGGAGCTGGGAGGGAGCAAAAATATGGACTGTGTGGAGTTCCCCAACGACCAAGTTGGGAAAAACTGCTCTGTAGTACTTCATTGCTTATAAGTCCAACTGGATCTTCATGAGGAGCTTTCATAATTGAAGGGAGGATATGGTCATACCCAAACCACACTAACAGCCCTGCCATGTCCACTCTCAGGGACAGCACATGTCCTATCTGAAGAAGAGGCTGTGAAACACACCATCCACGACGTGGTGATGCCCCTGCCTGGGTTTGATGTCATTTACCCCACACACCATAGTGAGTTCCTCATTCCCTTCTGCAGTATTGCATGCCATAATTGTTAAGGGCACTGCCTTCAGTCTTCACACGCCATTACCTGTCACTACTTGTTGGGTATCCCCTCCTGCAGTTGGTCAGGCCTACAAAGACATGCTGGCCTCTAATGACCTGGACATCAACAACATGAGGCACAAGATCCGAGATTACTCACTAGCAGGGGCCTACCGACGCATCCTTATTCGACCCCGGGATGTCAGCTGGTTAGTACCCATCAATCCTGTAGTGGTAGCATTCTGCCAATAGGGTGTTGTCTCTAGATTGGCATCCGGTGCATTCTGGAACTTGCTGCAGTTGTTTAGATTTGTAAGTGGTATTAAGATTTTGTACACACATGTCCCATCATCAGGCATCATTCACCAATGTATAGACACTTTTAAAAACTACTCAAGCATAAAATCACCTTGATGTGGGCCCATAGTCACAGTGGAGGAGCTATTCATCTGAAACATTTGAGTCAGAAATGGCTTGGGTTGAGGTTTCCATGTAGGCTGTCTGTTGTCCTAGACCGATTCCAGTGTTTGATGTCGCAAGCCAACGTCCAGCAGTGGCAAGCTATAATTGGCAAAAAAGGCATTTTAGTTTCAGATTGGACAGTCTGTATCAATATTAACAGTTGCAGACCTTTCAGTGAAATGATTGATTTCACTTAACCTCAAATCTTACATGTAATTCAGCACATACAAATCAGTTCAGCTTCATGAATCAGCATGGTACTGAAACCTGCAGGATTCTAGTAATCGGTGAGTTTGAGCTGGAGAATGTCTTTGAGCCTCCTTCAAAGGGCTTTCACAGCTCCTTCAGTTTTTCTTGACCTCTAGTCCTCCACATAACAGGAGGAAGGGGAGGCAGAAGAATTTGTCAGCCTGCCCAGTGAGCTCTTATCCACCATTAACAGTAAAGTGCTGTGTTTCCACCCCATCTCACCCTTACAGGGAGGTGATTCATTACGACGACCCCAGAATCCCATTGGTGCACACAGATGTGGAGAAGTTGGAGGGCAAACCTCCCCCTGTGTTCCCCAAAGGTCAGCCCCAAGGTTGCCCCGTGATGTCCGCATGACGACTTATAATTTACACCACTATTCACGAGTACCCACTGCGCAGTGTGTTACCCCTCCATATACAATCTGCCTATTCATGGATTTAAGTTCTGAGATATTTGTGATTCTGCTGCAGAGGGGAAGTACAGGGCCCTCCGTATGGAGTTCTCCCTTCCGTCCTCAACCTACGCCACCATGGCCATCAGGGAGGTGCTGAAGATGGACACGAGTATCAAAAACCAGACGCAGCTCAACACCACCTGGCTGAACTGAGACTGCACAGCTGCAGGGGCATATACTGAGGGCTCTGGACTGTGTGTGCTGTTGTACAGGGGTGTGTGTGCTGTTGTACAGGGGTGTGTGTGCTGTTGTACCGGGGTGTGTGTGCTGGCCCCAGGGGAATCTCATAAGGGGAACAGCCTGCTCGTGTTCAAACAGACCTTTTGCAGTTTTTTAAGTTTCATTTAATTGTTTTTTAAAGCTTCAGAATTTAATTCCAAGATGAATAGCTTCAGTAACTAGGGTATTAAGTGAGTCTGAGGTCATTGTCCTCACCCTTGGTGCTCTGAATATTCTCTTGCAGATGAAGGCTCAAGATGCTCCAATGGTCCCCAGTATCTTTAACTTTTGTTGGCCAGGTTATTAAATTACTAAGGAGCACACTATTAACCCTGCCCTTAATATGACCTGTATGGCTTTGTTCCCCTAAAGTGACCTTTCTTAAATAAAACTGCCATATCACTGTACCTGACATAGCTTCATTTAAACCTTAAGTAACTCCATGTATTGTGGTCTTACTGATTTTACGATACCTCTAGTAACAACGAGGAGAGCACTTGTATGGGAAGATACTCTGAATTATTTCATTTTGAAGGGGTGAATTAAGTAATTTAAGCCTCAAAAACCCTTCAGTGTCCAAGTTGTAGAACAGGATCTATTTCTAGCAGAATCTGATTTGACTTGGTTACAATCCAGTCTCTTTCTTATACACAGAGACACAAATTAGGTATCATAGTAGGTATCATGTAGGGAGTATCCATTGATTTCTATCGGCAACACGCTATTCTGAACTATGACAACCTTAACCATAAGTAACAAAATACAAGACCTTTGGTATTTTCACTTTTTTGATTGTGTCTTTATAATATTGGTTGTCCTTGTGGGAACCGAAAAAAAATAACATTACACGGTCAAAATAACAGGATTTTATCACATTGGTCTCCACAATGTAATTTAGACATGACAGCACATACACACACACACACACACACACATTTGGGAGTTGTCCAGCAGAGGGCAGTCCTCTTAAGAAAAAGTAAAAAATATCTGCTTAAGGTGGACAATATGCAGGTTCTGAGGTGCAATGTCTGTCTACAGGAAGAGTCGTACCCAGTCAAGTGGACGCTGGTTTCGATGTCACAACTATTTCGGAATTCCTGTAACCTTTAATAAATTATAAGGTGTGAGCAGGGACCTCAAAAAGATGTAACATAAGGAATCGTATTGATCAGCAACCAAAAGTGCTATAATTATCAAGATGGATACGGTTTGATTACAAAAGGTTCTGTAAATGCTGTTTAATTCGCAGGATGTTGTCTTTCCGGAATTATTTCAGTTTTGTTGCTGCTGTGTTGATGTTGATATTGGTTTATGTAGCTGCCCATAACGTGTGCTCGTGTGTACCACGGTTTCAATATGAGATAAACTTTATTGATTCTAGGGGGGTATTCTTGTTCATACATCAGCATTGCATGTAAAGTGCACACAAACGCATATAGTGCAAAACAATGTGATATTTGCTGTCTGTGATAGTTTTCAGACCCCCTCAATAGGTTGTATTCTTTAAATACGGTTAGTTTGATATGGCTGGTGTGCCCCGCGAAATACCAAATTTACAACCAGAAACGTGTGGAAATGCGCTGACGTGTCGCTTCGCTCCGCCAGAGGGCGTATGAGCTGTAAACGTGGAGCCGAGGCGCGTCACAGACATGGCGGCGCTCACTGAGGAGCAGTTTGAGAAGGAGATGCCTGACTGCGTGATCCAACTGATTGAGGGAGAAATCGGCGGCGATCTGAAATCGCTGAAGAAAGTCAAGGGTCTGCTGGAGAAGCTGACGGCGGAGAACATACGCCTGGAGGAGCAGGTAGTGCTTGCGAGTTGGACTGGTGCATATTACATCTACAAGCAGACCGGAGACATTGCGCTGTACTAAGGACAATTAGTTGTTGACTGTTCAGCTGCTGTTTACATGCGTCTGCATAATTTACCTTTACCAGTCATCAAGTCAGTACTTGGATGTTGAAAACAACTGTCCGCAGTGTGTTTTTCCCTCTAGGAAGTTAAGCGTTTCATCCAGTTTGGCTTCAAATACCATGGCTTACCCATGACGTGTCAGAAAACTGTTTAGGCAGACATCTGACTGGTTACTCTCCGTTTTAAGTGTATAAAACCAAAATACGCGCAGGTGGTATCTGTAACCGTTTAATCCGTGTGTAAATTAGGTAATATTCGCGGGAGTAAACAGAGCTGAAGTGAATTATGTTTTCTTGTTGTAGAAAGTTGTATGGGAAATTCCTGTTCGTCCTTTAGATTTAGTGCGTTTACTGGATGCAAGCTGAAGAGCATCCAGCAGAGCCTGGCTTTATCCCAAACTAGAATAAGGCTCCTACTTCAGATTTCAGTGGATCACAAAGGCGATGTCAGGGTCTGTCACTTGCTGGAAGCAGTGTTTACCACAAGTTCAAACTACACACTAAATATTAAATATACGCCTTTTTTATTTAAGATATGCTAAAGCGACATATTCTGCTAACCAGCTAGCTAGCTACAATCTTCTGATTCATCCCCCCTAGCTAAGGTTAACGTTGTGTGCAGCCAGTTATCAATCATAACCCAGTGAATGAAAATCAAAGATGGGAAGCCTCTAATAGAAAATTTGCATAAGCTGACCAGTTTCAGACATGCCTCTTTGAATGGGCCCCAGAAACAACAAATCCACCGCTACCCACAGGTGCTTACTATCTCCAGCTCTGTGCCTCTCCGCGTGTCTGTGGCATTGTCGGCAGCGGAGGAGTCCCAGCAGGCTCTGGAAGGGATCCTCCAGAGGGAGCGGGCTCTGTCCAACACCCTGCAGCAGCACCTGCAAGGCGCCCAGACCTGGGCCGACAGCCTGGGGCAGACCCTGGGCCGGCTGGACACCATTGAGCGCCACCTCAAGTATCTACAGTGCCTCTCCTACATTGAGGAGCTGAGGTTAGGACCAAATCCCGTGCTAGTGCTGATGTGCCAGCGTGGCCATTGCCGGAGGTGCTCTAGAGTGTTAATCATGCAGTGTTATGCAGATCTTCCTGCTTTAGTCCTTGATTGAAGACTTAAATTGATATTTGGTTAGGATTTAGTTAAGCCTTTTTTTCCGGCATATAATTGTAGATTGGAAATTGATAACGAAAGTGTTATCAGTAGCAAGGTGCTGTCCACTCCTGTTTGATCTTATCTGGGTTTTGTACTAGCTTCTCTGTAACATGTTTTTGCTTTTGTGAATGTATGTGTGGTCCTTCTCTGGCGAAATGGCCAGTGACAGCATCCAGCAGTTCCTCATGACCAGCAGCATATGGGAGGCGGTGGCGGCTGTGGGGCAGATGGCCAAACTGGACCTCAGCCTGCAGGAGTCAGGCTGCACACACCTGAAGTCCTATATCCGGGAGACGCTGCAGTTCTGGCACAAGATTCTCAAAGACCGGCTGTCTGGGTAAGGAGTGTGGCCTTCTTGGTCTGGGGGGCGTGGCCTGTGTGAGGGATGTGGCTTGTCCTTGTATTATCAACCCCCTTGTTATTTTGGAGGACATTGACCTAAAGAGTTTTTATTTAAAATGGCAGAATGTCTAGACACTTGTTGAGAAGTTATGCGTTTCCAACTCTCGCTCTGTTCACCAGTGATCTTGAGGAGGTGCTAACCCAGCTGCAGTGGCCGTTCCTGTCTCCCCCCGTGGCCTCCCTCTCGCCCCCCGCCAATGGCCCGGACCTCCACAATCAGCTGGAGCTTCTGGTCTCCCAGCTTCTGTCCCTTCAGACCTCGTATCCTTCTGTTTCTCTGCTTCACCCACCTGCCAGAAGGTTCTATTAGTACTCTCTTCGCAGTCTTAGTATTGATACTTCTGTGAGTATTAACACATTTGCAGCTAGTCTTGTGGTTCCTTCAGATTCATGTTATCAGCATGACCACAGGGCTCCAATCAAAGTCGCTTAGAGTTCCCTGACACTCCTCCTCAGTGATGACCTCATTTCAGAGAAGAGGTCTCCCCCTCCCCACCCAGACCTCGCTCCAGGCCCGCCCCTGTCCCTCCCTATACAGATCATGCTGTTGCCTCTCAGCAAGAGGTTCCGGTACCACTTCAGCGGCAACCGGCAAACCAATTCACTCAGCAAGGTCAGAACTGGCATGTATGTTTCTCTCAGATGTTATAGAGCATATGCGGAGACCAGAGTGGACAGGGGTTTGGTGACTGAGAAACTCAACATAAAACAGCATTGATTCTAGTTTGTTCATTGGGTTTATTTTGAAAGCACTTCTGGTATGATAAGACAATTTACGTTTATCTGCCAGCTGATGGTATGTTTTATGCTTAATAATGGGCAAATTTGAAAATAAGTAAAGGCGTATAAATGATCTGCAGATTGCTAGTTTAAATGCTGTTAAATCTTACGCAGAAATTTCCCCCCGGATCAGCATATATCAGCTTATTGAAACAGGTCTGCTTGGTTGTGGACAGACTGTCCATCCATCCATCCATCCATCCATCCATCTATCTGTCTGCCTGTCTATATATCTATCTAATTTATCATCTGTCTATGTTTGTCTGCAACCTGCTGATAGTATATACCCAGTGTAAGCACCAGTACCATGAATAACTCCTCCTGGGATTATGAAAACCCAAATCATCTACCCTAATGTTTCTCTAAAGCACCGCAAAAGGACCTCAGCCAGGCACCAGAAACCCTGGGCTGGGTCTGACTGTCCTGAAAGGTAGGGCTTGCGGTACTGATTTTGAGAATATATACCTGGCCTGACAGGTGTCTAAAGGAGAGGTCTACAGTCAGACCCTCGTAGCAGATGAGCACAGCCGTGTATAGGTTCCCATGAGCTTATCTTTAGGTATGTGACTGTCTCCATCTTACAGCCGGAGTGGTACCTGACACAGGTTCTGATGTGGATGGGATACAACTCGAAGTTTATGGAGGAGAAGATCCAGCCCATTTTGGACCATGCTGGAACCAAGACCAATGCAAAGGTGCGGCAGCAGATTTACAGACATGTTTCTTTCTGTTGCCTGCTAACAAACTGAGTGATAAACTGAGATTTGCTTGCAGTCATTATGTATGGCATCCATGCAGGGAGCAGAAATATAAAGTACAAATATTTTATGGGTTCCACTGAAATAAAGGTACAGTCGAACTTCGTTACAACGTACCTCGGGGGAATTAAGAATTTGTACGT